TTGATTTCAGATAACATCAATAGCCGAAGTCGGCCACCCACTTGCATTTTTTTTGGAGGTTCCAATTTCGAGTGACAGTAATAATAGGAATAAAGAATTAAATTTATTCAAATAATTTTTTTTTTTATATTTTCAATATGTAGTAAATAAAAATGTTCTAAATATTCAAGATAATTTATTTTTATCTTCCTATAAAAAACCTCCCTCCAAAGAAGTCATGAAAATAGGTATAAGTACTTATGTCAGAATACACCCGACATATCCAATAGGGTGGGTCGATTCCGGACTTTTTCGATTCGGGATTTCTAATAGTGCGGAAAAGTTGCCTTAGTACTTCCTGATTTTTGTTTTGAGATCGGATTGCATCTTCAACCCCAACTCCGCCCTTGAAATTTCGGAAATTTGCCTAAAATCGTGAAATTGTCTACCTAGCGCCTGAAATACGCATCTCATGGCAAAATGTATAAAACAAAAGTTATTTGTCACGTCATTTGCTACCGAAATGGCATATGTGATCATGGCCGTAGGATGAACCATTCCCGCGATACGAGCGAAAATGCGGTGCGCCACATCGCAAGGTGAAAATTGTTGCAGCTCTCAGCTAACCTGTATTGGTCACCCAGAATCCACCGCGTGGTGGTGGCTGCTCTTCGGGTTCCTCCCAAGCCCAACCCAACCAWCCAACCAYATKYCAGGCTTGTTTTAGTCTGAATCTGTGTCAAATTTATTGATAAAATCAGATTTTGTACTAAACTTTTGCACTTATTGCCTAGATTTCAGTGTAGAGCGTATAAAACGATCACGAGATTGGGGGCCAATAACTTTAGAAGATGCCTTTGTCACCAGTTTGACGATTCTCTCGACTGCCACGGTGTGAGAGGGGAATTCACTAAATTTCCATACCTCTGCAGTGTCACCCGACAGCCCTTTTACGAGTTCTTCGTTAGAAACTGAACAAAGAACTGGTGGAACAGTCAAGGTAATAGTCTTCCAGTTAATCATATCGTAATAATTATTAGCTTTGAAATTCAGCTTTGGCACTTTATTACATCTAACCCTCCCATTTACAGTGTCAGACTCTGCTTCTCTGGCTGCCAGAAGACGGTCAAGGGCCAACTTTCTGACTTCTATCCGTTCGTCAGTCATCATACTAAGGACAATGTTTTCTGGAAGAGCAAAGAAAGCATTCTGTTGAATGGATGAATCGACAACCTTGCGCAGTTTAGCAGGTAAGTATCTCGACCTTTGAATTGCAGCTTAGAGATGGCGCGAGCCATCTTTGATTGAATTGTTGAACTTATTGAGAACCACAAAGGTGAGTAAACTATAAATATGTACTTGACCAAAATCTTTATTTCCTTTGTTGGTTTGTCAGTAGAAATATATAATTTTAGAATTCTATTTGCGCAGGTGAGCCAGCGAGATTTGCACATGTTACCTGGATGTATCGACGCTAAATCTGAGGAACATTGACCGGAAATAACAGCTTCTGATATTTTATAGAGATAAGCTTGGGTCGGATTAATAACCTCAGAAGGTAATTGGCAGGATGGAAAACTTTCAAATTTTACAACAGGCAACTTCTCACAATTAGGGAGCCTATGTCGCCAGAGAATGTATTTGGACTCTTTGAGACACCATCTATGTGTTCGAAAAGAGCACGAAATGGAAGTTCGTTGAAATGTAGAAGACAAACAACCCACTGTAATGGCCTACCTATTMTTTCTTCTAGTTTTCGAATGATTCCACCTTTCCAACCTGTGTTCGTGTTGGTGCATCAGCACCGACAACTTCTAGATGTTCCACATCAACTGAATTGTCTTGTAAATGTTGCAATATAGCTTGCGTCTCATCCTCAGCTGACCTGGAACGAGAGGTGACGTGGCCAAAGTAATGACAACCAGGTTCCGCTATAAGACAAATATGTTCCTCTTTGACAGTGTCACGGTAGTACTTTTCACCTTCGCTGACTTGTGTAAGTGTGTTGTCTTTGCGGCCGTCAAAATACAGCCCATATACAGAGTCAATACTTYGGAGCTTAACTCCAACACTTTTTTTTTGTCCGACTAATCTTGCATTTGTCAGTGACAAAGCTAGCCTGATCCTCTGTTATCAAACCTGTTTTTTTGGCATCCAGAAAAGCAGATGAAACAATCAAGACCGCTGCTCTACCACTTACTCCAAATCTTTGGGCAGCTAAAGCAGTGTGTTCTAATACTAGTGTGTTTTGTTTGGTTTTAGAGGATAGAAGAGAAAATTCATCATCAGCATCGTTTTTGGAAGAATGCATGTGCGACACACCTACATTGTTGTCGTCTGGCTGATCTGAATGGTCACGTGTTCTAGCTGACACTTTTCTCGTAAGTGTTGATGTTGAATGACGTTTTGAAAGCTTTTCTCTACGTTCTTTATCTGCAATCTTGTAATCTTTTTTGTTTCAGGTAGATCAACACTTCCAATGCGACCAATTCTTCTGGTTCTCTGGTCCAAGAGAAMTGGTTGTTCATTGATAGGAACTTTCCTTTCCTTTGGACAAGTGCAAGAAGAAWAATAAATGCATTTACAAGCAGCGATGTCAAATAATTTTCCGGCAGAAGAGACAAAGTCGTCTCTTTTAGAGCTCAAACTTATTGGGTTCCTTAAAAACATTGGTTTAAGAGTCAGAAATTTCTTATGGTATGTGGTGAGCATTTGTACAACTCTGGTGTGTGAAACTATCGGAATAGATGACTTTTTGAAAGYATTTTCAACCTTTTTTGCAACTATTTCTGTAACCTCTTTACTCCTAGGTTTATAGTTGTGGCCTCGGAGTCGCCCTATACGAGATCTTTCAAACTGATAATACGAAAGAACATCCTGGTAAGTAGGTAACTGCAAATCAGAGAGATTGTACGGATATATGCCAAAGATGTCCTGTTTCTGTGTTTTAAATTTAGATACAGTGTTCAGTGTTCTGTTGAGAGAATATAAGTGATAGCACTCGGCGAAATCAACGTCAAGAAGTGTGGCCGCAAACCGATTTTCACCTTGCGATGTGGCGCGCCGCATTTTCGGTCGTATCTCGGGAACGGTTCGTCCTACGGCATATACCATATACCATTTCGGTAGCAAATGACGTGACAAATAACTTTTGTTTTATACATTTTGCCATGGGATGCGTATTTCAGGTGCTAGGTAGACAATTTCACGATTTTAGGCGAATTTCCGAAATATCAAGGCCGGAGTTGGGGTTGAAGATGCAATCCGATCTCAAAACAAAAAGTTGCATCGGAATCAGGAAGTACTAAGGCAACTTTTTCGCACTATTAGAAAATCCGAATCGAAAAAAGTCCGGAATCGACCCACCCTAATATCCAACATACATACATACATCTGTCCTGCGTGCAGAGTCTCCGCATGACACTGGCCACCTCTTTGCATGCCCAACCAATATCTCATCTGACACCCGTTTCGCTTTGGTCCGAAACCATCGAAACGGCACGTTTTTTGGCCTTCCCGTTAGATGGAGTGGACAACCACCTAGATAATCCTTATCATCTTGACGGGGATTAAATATCCGTTAAAACAACAACAGGACCTTACTGTTTTTACAAATGTTTTGTCCGCTACTGTATATAAAAATTTAGAAATTTAATTGCGGTTGCAAGGAAGCTATATATGTATGTATGTACAAAATATTATTTGCAAGAACTTAATTCCTATCGCTGTTTGTATGGTAGCTATATGCTATAATGATCCGATCTGACCAATATCTGGACTGAAAAAATTAACACTAACTACACAACGAACCTTAATTATATAATTAAAATTAGCATTGCACTAATTAATACAAATTAATGTGTAGAACCGAATTAATGAATATAACAGTAGAGAACCTCCTCTATCCGTACATACCAATATTAACGCTCTAATCGGGGGATGCTTTTCTAAATTCCAGGTAAATTTCAAAAAATAAAATCTGATATAGGCCTAAACTAAATATTATTAATCTAGTCAATCTCTATTAGCCTTTATACATATATTAACCGCGAACGAGGAATTTATATTCCAAATCGTAGGCAACAGATTAAACAAATACCTGTAAAATATGTATATATGTCGAAAAGGAATACTCTTAATCGCGTTCAATTCACCTACCTACTTGTCGGATCAGCGCTGTGCGTTCACTTTACCATAACATTCCGTCCATTCATGAAACCCACATATAAAATGATAACAACACCAACAACACAAGTGTTCACAAACACACTCACACACAACTTCAGGCAGTAGCCCTGCGCAATTCCAGCGCATGCACAGAAAATTCATTCATAAAGGGACGTAGAGGGAAATATAAAAGCACCAAGCAAACAGATATAGCACTTCTGTGTCGGCAGCTGGTAAAAAGCAGCTGCATTTGTATAGGCATTCATTGTTGTTCCAGTTTCAACGCGTTTTCAATCAACACCATACCAATTGTCATAAAAACATAGCGTGTGTGTGCATGTATGAAGGAAATCAACAAATGGGAATTCAATGCAAGAGAAAAAGAAATAAATATATATGTGATTTACCGACACAGTTTATATCTTATTCATTTATAGCTATGATGGTATTCAAATCTTGAATATTTTGTCAGTATTTTACACTCAAACTTCACCGCCAAATTCGGTATATATACATGTTTCCATTGTTTATGCAGTATAACAACACTTTAAATTACACTTTTTAATTAATTTTAATTACAGAAAATATGAAAATAGTTTATAAAATCCAGCATGAGATTGCAGTGTTTCATTTTACACAATAATCATTGTTTTAAGCTAGAAAGTAAAAACGCACAAGCTCACACATACACAAATAGCGCGCATCATTAGCGAAGAGCAACAACATTCCAATGCACACACAAAATCCCACCAAAAACCCCATGTAAATGCTAATATTTTACAAGGGTGAGAACAACCGAAATCGAATCGCACTTGTTCTTATAATTAAATAGTAATTTGCACTAATTTACATACCAATTTTCACTTTTAATTGCTCTTCAATTCGTACTTCGCGTGTATTATCGGCCATGTTGGATCCATAACTAATGCTTGTATGTTCCATACTGTGGTCGTCTCTTTCCTCGTATTTCTTTTTCAGATGCATTTCGTTAATTCTCCAGTTCCGTACAATATCGTGTTCGTTACACGAGGGAAATTTCACTACACTTTAGTGCTTTAGTGTTGCCGTTGTTTTCTATTTATTTAATGCATTAATAACACAAGCGGATAGCACAATTTGTTGAAATAAGCGATATAATTTGATTTAAAACATTTGGATTCAAATAACTGCTCGTTGCTTTCTTGGTCCACATTACTTGCGGACACTTTTTACCTGAAATTTAACAAATTACATAGGTTAACATAAAAAAAAATTAATTGTTTAAAAGCCTATATAATTTATAACAACGCAAAATTTTCATAAAATTTTTTAACACAATCTTCATAGCAATAGTTCCACATTTTACTACAACACAATTTTTTTAATATTAGAACTGGTTTAACAATTAAAAAGTGAGTTTTAAGAACAGATGTAGTTTAATTTTTTCACTTTACTTTTAGATCATAATTATTCCGTAAAGTTTTTGGAAACTCTTCAAAGCACAACCATTTAATGGAAAATTATAAAACTTTATTTTTATTAATAATATTTTTATTTTATATATTTTTAATGGGCATTTTTCTAAAAGTAGTTTAACATGAATTTCCTGTCCGATAATTGTCTGCACTTCAGTGTGCATAAGAATCCAATTAGTATGAAACAGTTTGGAAACGAAATCAATCTATGGACAGGTGAGAAATTAACGCCTGCACCAAACGAAACGACGAAAAGTTGGAATTGAAGAGGAAATCCTTTTTACCGATTACAGGAAAGCGCAGAAAGATTTTAGGTGACACTTAAAAATAACAGAGCTCTGTAAAATTTTCTGTTAGGCGCGTACAAACGTCTTCATATATTTTTTGTTGTCCAACCAGAAACCGCACTTTGGCAAGAGCGAGAGGGCGCATTAACGAGTTCGTCATGCTTGTTTGCATAGATACTACACGAGCGCATTGGTACTCGGGGTGCGTCACAGAGGAAATGGGAAATTTGAGTTCATTCATAAAAATCTGCTTTGGTTTTGCTCAGGTTTTTGGGATGATATTTCATTTACACACAAATGCATATGTATATGTATATATCTGCTTATGCATAATGCGTGCACAAGCAAGCGTGTACATATATATGTCGGTATATAAATAAATACGTGTTGTACATATGGACGTGGGTATTTGCTGCTGGTATTTTCGGCACTTCGGAAATTGTGCGTAGTCGTTGCCGTCGCTCCAGCTATCTATGGTGTTTTGTTGTAGCCGTTGTCATTAGCTGTGCATATGCACATACGTATTATGTACTCATTATGTATATGTGTATATTTGCATTTTGCCAAAGAAGTCAAATTTGTGAATGAACTGACTTAAAGCCGTAATGCTGTGGAATGTCATTGATCGGTATTTTGGACAGAAAATTAGCGGGTTTGGAAAGTACATTTGCCATAAAATTGCGTAGGTCATAAAGCCCAAACGCGAATAGTTTTGATTACTCTTATCTCAATACATATGTATGTACGCATATAAAATTACATTTTTAGTTTTTTCGGCATCTTTTTTTAATTTTCACTTGATTGGCGAGTCACGGTTCAATTAGTTTATATCACTTTGAATACATTTATTACCGACAATTTGGAAATAATTAAACGAGTATTGCACCAATTGATTTGTTTATTCATTACCATATATATCGGTGTAATATATTTTATGTATTCAACAAATAAATTCATATCTTTTTTAGCGAATTATTACACTTTTCATTTGAAGAAATTCGATTTTGTCAATAAAAAAAATATCACTTCCGGTGTCTGCAGTGTGGTCTACTTTTCACATAGAACCAGAAAATACACATCTGATTGTATGTACGTACAAGCAAAACGGCGAAATCGGAGTCGGCGGGGAACTTTGCTGCTGCACAAGTTTCATTCAACCGCAAAACTTCTACCCGCAGTGAAAAAGCAGCTAATACAAGTGTGCGCAAGAATTACGAGCTGCGACACTACCGGATGAACAACCAATACGATGGACGATTTCTTTGCTACTATTTTTCGTTTACGGCCACTGTATAGCGAGTTGAAGTTGATTGCCGAACAACGAAAACAGCTTTGTTGTTGTTTGCAAGCAAGCAGAGTTGACTGTGGTGCTCAGTACAGGGTTGTAGTATTAACTTGGAATTTGAATTACTTGTAGTGCAACCCTGCTTTTCAATAATGAAGTGTTTGTACTATGAAACATAAGAGAGTTCACTGTTTTTTATACTTTCGTAACATGTTACACCGAGTATAATGGTATTGTTGGTATCGCCTAAAGCCAATTGTGATAGATACAGAGTTATATACATATATTTATATTTCAGTAATTGGCAACACTGGTGGTATTGCCATTTGGAAACTTACAGGTATAATACAGGTAAAATACAATACATTGACTGAAAACTGCATTATTGTGGACTCAAAACATCGATTTGAAGAGCCATCTTGGTACAGAATGACTTCTTTTTATTCCGGTCGTAAAAATTAAAATAAGAGGTCAACGTTTCTCGACACCTGAAGAGGCGGTTGATGTGTTCAGAATGCATGTTTTAGAGATGCCTTAATCAGAGTGGCAAAATAACAACAATTCGATAATTGTTTCAAACGCATGCAATAATGTATAGATTTTAATGGACAATATTTTTAAAACAATTAAGCTATTTTCGACAGTTAAAATATACATATATATTTTTTCTCGGATCCCGAAATAATAAAGGCAACCTACGTATAAATGGTGAAGTCGACAAAACGAGTTAAAATTTCGAGTGACTGCCTGTCCGTGCGAGCGATAACTTGAGTAAAAATTTAGCTCTCCGAGTCGTTCGATACCAAACGAGGTTTCAGACAAGGCGATTCCTTATTGTGCGACTTTTTCAACCTGCTTCTGGAGAAAATAGTTCGAGCTGCAGAACTAAATGGAGAAGGTACCGTATTCTATAAGAGTGTACAGCTGCTGGTGTATGCCGATGATATTGATATCATCGGCCTCAACACCCGCGCCGTTAGTTCCACTTTCTCCAGACTGGACAAGGAAGCAACACAAATGGGTCTGGCAGTGAACGAGGGCAAGACGAAATATCTCCTGTCATCAAACAAACAGTCGTCGCTCTCGCGACTTGGCACTCACGTCACTGTTGACAGTCATAGCTTTGAAGTTGTAGATAATTTCGTCTATCTTGGAACGACCTCCTCTCTCGACAAACAAAAACCAAACTCTATAAGTCACTCATAATTCCCGTCCTGCTATATGGTGCAGAGGCTTGGACGATGTCAACAACGGATGAGTCGACGTTGCGAGTTTTCGAGAGAAAWGTTCTGCGAAAGATTTATGGTCCTTTGCGCGTTGGCCACGGCGAATATCGCATTCGATGGAACGATGAGCTGTACGAGATATACGACGACATTGACATAGTTCAGCGAATTAAAAGACAACGGCTACGCTGGCTAGATCATGTTGTGCGGATGGACGAAAACACTCCAGCTCTGAAAGTATTCAACGCAGTACCCGCCGTGGGAAGCAGAGGAAGAGGAAGATCTCCACTCCGTAGGAAGAACCGAAGGGAGTAGGACCTGGCTTTGCTTGGAGTCTGCAATTGGCGCCACCTATCGAAAAGAAGAAACGACTGGCGCGCTGTTGTTAACTCTGCAATAACCGCGTAAGCGGTTTCTACGCCAGTAAAGAAGAATACACGGACAGGCAGACGTTTTACGGCCCTCTTGACGTTTTAATATAGCATGTTTAGGGTATAAACATATTAGTTATTATAGATGGCAATGGTTCCAGAGTAGCTATGAAAAAAATTTCCGGTAGAAAGGTTTTAGATCATCGCAACAAATTTTGGCACATTTATCTTTAATCACATATCACGCATGTGGATCTCTTGCTATTTCGGTAAAGTTCGCTTACAAAATATATTATATATACCATACACATTATTATTTATACATACATACACTTGTTTATGGATCTCGATTCCTAATATTTACATTGTGAAATCATCTAAGAACACACGCAGGCAACGGCAAGTTGCCATCTTCCGGTCAAGTGCTGTCAATAATATGCGGCAAGTAAATAAATACGTCCAAGCACTTTGTACCCTCGTCGCGTACGCGGGCGTAGTTCCTCGAGTGGCTGAGTTATGAGGTGATTGAAATGTGTGTGGGTTTGTTTTTATCTACCTACACACAAACGTTTGTATAAGTAGCGCCACCGCCAATCACTCGAATGCCACAAAGACCACATCTTTTCTGACGGTGTCGCAACACCAGAACACACACCTAGCCACAAACGTTCAGAACAGCAAGAACACGACAAATGGCAACGACTAATCACGGCTGCTGCGGTATCACGCGTGATATCAATGGGCAGCGCAGTGTAATGAGTGTAACTGGCAAACCAAATTGTATTGATGCTGATTGACAAATGGTGAGGTCCATATTGACGCTTCAGCAACATGCTAATGATGTTTTTAACTTCAATACCACCGATCTGATTGCCCATTGCCCATTACACAGTACATATTCACTTTGCTTGCTGCGTCGTTCGTTCGTCAGCCTTCGCCTACTGACGCCAATACAATTTATGAATGAAATTGTAAACTTGCTTTTGCTTGTTCTTGACGCGCGTATTGTTTGCGCTGTTATTGTACAGCTGCTTGGCTAGCAACATGCAACACCAGAATAATTAAATATAAATAAAACCAATGTGTTGCATATACAAGTACATATACATATGTATGTACATACACACGTCATTCGGTCGGATGTGCGAGTGTAAAGACGAGCTACCCCTCGAAGACGTGGGAGTTGAGGAAGTGAAAAGTTACCATGTGGAAATGTAAATGGAAATGTGAAGGAATTTAGAGTAAGCCCGCAGCTGTGTATGTATGTATGTGTGTTTGTTGATTTGTAGGCAGCTAGGTGCTTGGGTCGCCAGTCAGTTGTTGTTTAAGTGGCCTAGTGGGAAGCACGCTTAGCTGTCGTTTGGTGTCGCACAAGTGGTCGGACTGGAATGAGTGAATTTCACAGAGTTTTGTTAGGTGCAAGTGCGGTGTGGCACTACTTGGCACCGCATGCCGACGTATCGGTGTAGCCGATTACAGTGTTCAATATTGCTATGCACAAGAAGTTTATTTTTCAAATAACGCCTTCTATTTACAGGAGAAAACAGATTGTTGCTATAATATTGGAATTCCCTCTTTTAAGTTCTATGTTTTCAGTTCCCGAATCCATCAGGCGGCTCTTGCAAGCGGATTTTCTGGTTCTTTACAAGCGTAGATACCGTTTACGCGTTATAGCCACGTTTACCACGAGATTGGTCTTTCCAACGGAGTGGAGGTCTTTCTCTTCCTCTCTTTGCCCTGGCGGGTACTGCGTCGAATACTCTAAGAGCTAGACTGTTTTCATCCATTCTGGCAGCATGAGTCGTAGCCGTTGTCTCTTAATCCGTTGTCGAAACGCAAAGGACCATAAATCTTCCGCATAACTATTCTCTCGAAAACTCGTAACCTCTACTAATCACATGTTGTTATCACCCATACCTTTGTACCATATGGCAGGACGACGATGATTAAGTACTTGTAGAGTTAGGTCTTTGTTTGTCGAGTGAGCACTTTACTTCTTAATTGGCTACTCAGTCCGAAGTACCATCTGTTGGCAAGAGTTATTCTGCATTATTCTGACGTTGGTGTTAATACCGGTTCCAAGATAGACAAAATTATATACCATTTCGAAGTGATGATCGTCAGCAGTGACGTGGGAGGCAATGAGTACGACGACTGTTTATTTGATGACAGCCCTCGCTCACAACCTGACCCTGTTTGCTTCGCTTCTTTGTCCAACCTGGAGAATGTAGAACTAATGTCTCTGTATTCGGATCTGAAGCTCAAATTATTTTCTTCAACAATAGATTTAAGAAGTCGTACGATAGGAAGTCGCCTTGTCTGAAACCGCGTTTGGTATCGGACGGCTCGGAGATGTGCTTACATATTCTGAAAGAGCTTCAGGTATTGCTCAACATCAGTTTACACAGACGTATTGGTTTTGCGGCGATACTAAATTCACACATAGCGGCATAAAGGCCGTTCCTTTTCGCAGATTGAAATCGATGGTATGTGTCTACACTATTTTACAATAATTTTTCAACTCTGATCTCTGACATTTTTGTAATTCTGTATTGTAGATGATAGTAAAAATATTGTAGACAAGTGGTGTAAGGGTCAAACTATCAGGAAAACATTCTCTGTCGAAATATACGTGAGCTGTCCTTTTACAAGTAGTTGATGAAGATTACACCTTTTGAATCCTAAAAAACACTGGCCACTGGTCTTTTTCGAGCCAAATTTTTTCGATAGTTTTTTGTCTTTAGTATGCAAGAGTGTGTCCATGTTTTAACGACGGTCACAAAACGCCGCGCAAACCACTTCGGAACTGCTGAAATGTGTTATCACGGCCGCTTAAAATCGAAATCGACTAAAAGTTTGTCAGGAGGCGACTACTTCCGAAAGTGATCCCTTCGATCGCTGAGTCAATGAACTTATCGGAACGCTCTTGTAGCTTTTCTTGACATGTTCGTTTTAGAATATACTAGTTAAGAAAGTGACGTCGAAAACTTTTATTTCGGAACATTCTAAGAGGTACATTTTTGTAGACTGTTTCAATGACTTTACAGTCAGTTTAGCATCATTAAAGCCTTGAAGCTGACTCGCTCAAATATATGTAGTTATGTCGATATTCATTGTTGGCAGATGGTCCACAGGTGTTTTTGTCGTGCTCTTAACACGAATTAAAATATGTCGGTGGAGGTAAATTTGCCCAATAATTTCTTCCAGCCCACTAAATATTATATATTTCCATTCTACAAAATTTGACAATAAAGTAAAATTCTCAACAATTTGTTTGCTCACTGTTTGCATTTGCTGCGGTTTCATGCTGGTCAACATCGCTGCCGCTACAAGTGACTTTTTATACTCTCGCAACAAAGTTGCTAAAG